CGAGTTTCCTTCGTGCCCAGAGAGGATTAGGTGATTGGCATCGTCTGAGGAGACCGGGTATTTTCCCGGACTCTGAGTAAAGGATTTGAAGTATCTAGATTAAAGAACAACATTGCTTTGACTGAATACCAGAGGACTGCTTAAAACACACTAAGTGATTGAAAGGGCAGAGTATGCCAGAGAGCAATTAACTGCGATTTAGAGGATCTGAATCAAAACGGTACGGTGCAATAAACAGGGCACAAAGGCTTTCGGCATTGCTGTACTGCAGAAACGGGGGAAAACCAAAGCAACTTCAAGGCCATTCACAGAGCAGTCGTGAGATTTTTCCTTCCTCTCTAGCAGAGTGCTCCTCGCAGGACTGCCTGGAACTAAACCGTACGACTGAGAGCATCGTCCAGATGCTCCTCGAACTCGGGCAGGCTTGGTGCCGTGGCTGCAGTATGAAATGGTGTCACAATGGTAACTGCAATACTGAACAAGCTTAGGGGAAGAAAAAGATAATATAAAGAAGCACACACAGTTCTTCAGTGCAAAATACATCATCTGTGCAAGTGTTCTTGACTGCTGGGTAACTGTAAAAGCATAGGCACAGATTTGGATCATTAGTGGAATGTGGAACATTGCAGTGATGAGTGGGTGTTCATTTGCTGTAACTATAATGTTTTTAATTCAGTATTTTGCACTGATTTCTGTTCACATCCTTCTCTCTTTTTCTGGCATACCTGAAGAGTCCTGTGGCAATGATCAGTAATGCACTGTTACATTTCAGGAAACAAACACAGAACTGAATTTCAATTTTTGGTGGATCAAGTAAATAATCGGTGGAAGAAAAGTGGTAAGAGGAAAACAGAAAGTGCTCAAAACAGAGAAGAAATCATTGTCCAAGAACTGCCAGCGGCCACAGGTTAGTAATGTTGTTTAATACGGTCTCCCTCTTTGATCCACACTAATAAGTTGGAGGTTTCCCAAAGAAATGTCCTTTCCTCCCATTATTCTTCTCCTGCAGTCCTTAAGGGGAAAAAAAATGCGTAAGAATCAAACGGACCCTGAAAAGATTGCCATGGATTTTAGTGTGCTGCATAAGCAAACTAGTGCCTGTGCTTTTAGTGGGACTGTGTACACGTGTACTTGCTATAGGTGCATGTTTGAATTAGCCTGGTTGAACTGGGATCTTGGGTACTAGACCAAACCTACGAAGTTGCTGAGAGTGGACATGTGACAGTCTGCACGTTGAGATGAAGGTGAGCCTGGGCTTGGCTTGCTTTTCTGTATCATTGATGAGACAGGGAGTCGGTAACTGGGATCTGCAAGGACATTGGTGTGGATTGGAAGAAGTATTTATTTGCCCTGAGGGTGCAGCAGTAAAATACTTTGGCTTCCTTTAGACTGTTTATACCCTATGTTGCCTCTCTTTTTTTAAACTTGCTTCATTTTGGTTTTATATAGTTCAACACAGTGAAAAGTGGGAATGCACAACTGCAGTTACACAGTTCTTTACGAGTTAGGAACAACATCCAGTGTATGTTTATGATCCTCGCTACCCCCAACGTCAGATAAATACCCACGTGTGCTCTTAACTTGTTCCCTAGAGCTTTGTTCAGTTTGTTTTGTGTTGCTGGTTGCTTTGGCAGTGTACGTGTGTTACCTTTGAATGTGAGATTTAGAAGAGTGCTCCTCAACCTAGTATAACTTGGGGAGTTACAGTCTGTTACAGATACCAACTTTTGGAGAGAGTTCCACTGGCCAGAACTGGGTGTGCTGCTGTCTGTGTCCCTGGGAACATACAGCAGTTCAGTTTGCATCAGCTCTCACAAATCCCGGCTCTTCCTCAGTTGAACAGAATTAATCTTTGGCTGTCTCCTGTGCTGTCTCCTCTAGCAGAGCTCTCAAGAGTAAAAAGAAATGAAAATACCAATATAATGGTATGAATTTTGTCCTTATCATTTCATGCAGACCTCGATGCTATGCATAAATCCTTTCCATGTGAAGGGTAAAAATTAAGGAATCTGAAGGATCAAGTTTATCGTGTTTGACATAATTTACAGTGATGTTCCTCTTCTGTGGCAGAGACAGAAGCAATGTGTTGTTAGATAATGGGATCACAAACTTTGAAGTATTCATTTCTAGCTATGCTCTGTGGAGAGATCGGCTACTGTGCAGTACCGGGTTTCTGTCTTCTGTGTAAGCTTTTGCTTTGTGCACTGACCACGGGCTTTGAGAAGCTCACGTAAAGCCCCACAGTTTTTCCAAGAGTGCTCAGGTAGAAAATGACTTGTATCAGGTGTATCAACCTCTGCCGTGTGGGCTGAAGTACACGGTGCCACCTCGCCTGCTTCTGACAAACCTGCACAATATTCGTTCTGCTGCTTGTGCCCGGGGTGTTCAATCATCTTTGAAATTTCAGCTCCTACTTTTATGCCAAGCATCTGCACCTGGTTGACTGTTTGTAAGCCATTTGGAGAACAAAGCAAAAAGATTATTTATGGGTGAAGGACAAATGCCTGAAGCCTGTTTCTTCAGTGTTCCTCGTTAACAGTAATTACCTTTATTAAACTAGAAATTATAATATGTGGAAGGAAGAACACCAGCAGTGGTCTGATGACTTGCTGTCTGAAAGCACAACTGCGAAGAAGAGCAAAGGCTTTGTATGCTTTCCTTACCCACTTCCTTCGGATTCTCAGGGAAGCACTGGAATTGTACAGATTAAAACATACTTTTTTTTTTAACCCCCTGCATGTCCCCCGTTGCCCTCTGCTATAGTGTTGGTTGGTGTAACGTAAACCTCTCTGGAGGTCTCACTCTGGCTTGGGTGGTGTTTTAATCGTACCCTCCTGATTTACATCGTCTTGTTTTGTCTTTAAACTTAAAATGTTCAATTTCCAGTCTTTCCATTTTACGATTCTCATCATAGGTTTTTGCTTTGCCTAAGGAGAAGCGCCAGCAGAATGTGGTGAATACTTGTGATACCCCTCTTCTGGGCTGCATTACTGCCAGGGCCTGGCTATTTTTAACCTGTTCATTTCAGCGCTAGGTTTCATTAGTTGGACAACTGACTCACTGTAATCTGCCGGCTGTTTTCAGCAGACAAAACCAGCTCCTGATATTTAATTATGCATTTTAATGGAAGGGAAAGGGCAAACTGTAGCCAAATTCAAAGATTGTATAGCTCTTCCCCACTCTAATGACATTCTGTTTGGCAATTTCGGTCGCAGTCGTTTCTGGAGGGGCAGCAAGGTCAAAGTGGCTTGAGCAGGAGTATGGCTTGGTTGGTGAGGGTGGACACAGCACTGCTGTCAATGGCTGTAATAAGGATTATTAATGAGCTGAGTTTCGGTATGGTTCCCATTCCCCGTGCAACTTTCTAGTTAAATAACTCAAATATTTGAAAATAGTTGTGGGTGTGGCATAAGAGCAGTTTATCTTTACATACTCTACTTTCTAGTCTGCCTTTCCTTTCTCTTTGGAGAGGTGGAAGGTATCTTTTCAGAGAACTGTTCATCTTTTTGTAGATAAAAATATTTGACACAATATCAATTTATGATATTTCTTGTCTAGAAATGATTTCTCCTATTAAAAAAAGGAAATGTCAATTATCTAGATTGACATTCTCTTTCTTGGATGCATAAGGAAATAAATTGTAATGCTTCTCTTATTGAAAACAAGCCTGTTAACGTGATCTGTGAAACTTTAAAGCTGTCAAGCTGTCTCATGCAGCGGATGAAGTGAGCTGGTAGCAAGAAGCAGAGAACAGCCCTGTCTCATTAAGTGTTTGCTAATTTCTGAAAGAAAGTTTCATCTTAGGGACTGTGACAAATCTCCTTACCCTTTATTTCTCTCCTCGTTGGTGTTTGAAACTCACAGCAACGGAACGTTCCTGTTTCAGCCTCCGGCTCTTGGAGGGGGGGGTTCTTCTTACTGTGCAGGAAAAGAAAGGAAACCTTTGAAACGGTGAGAGTTTCGGGAAGCAAAGTAGTGGGAATGAGGCGCTGGTATTTTAATATTTTAAAGCTTTGCTTTTTTCTTAAAATCCATCTCCAAGCTGCAAAAATTTAGACAATAGTGTTTTGCTTTGTCATCCTTGCTAATCTCTGCCTTTCGCCTTGGTAGAACACGCGGAAGAGCATCACACCGCTGCCGTCCTTGGAAAGGCCCAGGTACTCAAACCAGACACTCCCGATGGCAAAAGAAGTGAAGCTCGTTCCTTGGAGGAAGGCCAGAGATCAGTCTCTCCTGCGTTCTCACTGTCATCTGGATCAACAAGCAGGTCAGTGGAGAAGTCATCTGTGCTCCTTGGTCTGTATCAGTTTAGACCAAACACGGCAAAACGTTACCAGTAACCTCGAGCTTTACGTGTAGCCTACTTCATGGGCTGGGATCCTAAGCTGGGGTTACTGTTTCATTCTCCTCCTTGTTTCTGGCTGTTCAGTTGCTTGAGGCCTACTTCATGGGCTGGGTTCCTAAGCTGGGGTTACTGTTTCATTCTGCTCCTTGTTTCTGGCTGTTCAGTTGCTTGATGGATGGAGTTGAAATAGGTTTAGAATTCACTTAATAGTTTTGTAATGACTTGATACAGGGGTGATAGTGTAAACGTTCCTTTGATACAGAAACAGCAAGTAGATGCCTGTGGAACCAGGAGAATGTTTGGTGTTTCTCTTCCACTGCATCATCCTCCCTTCTGTTTGAGGTTTTATTTAGAGAGGTCCAAAAGTTGATACAGCCTAAGTCTTTTATTAGCTCTTTATGTTGAATATTGCTGTAAGAAATAGAGTTTAAATGACCCATTATTTGCAGTCAGTGGTAGAATGCCCTGAACCTTGAAGTCCTGGCAGCCATTCACTTCTCTTTCTTCATGCAATTAGTTTTGCTTCCTGAAATTGCCTCATTTGGTTTCAGAAAATGAAGGATCAAGGAAGGCTTTATAAATAATGTAAGATTTTGTGCTTTTGATAGTTCAATGATAATTGTATCAGGAGGAGACTCAGCTGTTGGTGCTGATAAGATCTACCTAGTTTTTGAAGGTAGTGTTTGTATCTGTTGAAAATATTTACTTCAGGGATCATAATTTGCTGTCTGCTACTGATCAATTGTCAAAGATGATGACTATGAATACTTAGATAAATACCCTACTGCAGTGTTGTTTTATGTGGCCCAAATTTCCGGAGGAAAGGTGAAAAAGTCATTGAAAACCAGTACAGAAGAACTGTTTTTTGGTATGTGTCTAAAAGCAAGTGAGCTAATCTTGATAATAACCGTGCTATCTTGTTGATAACAGAAATAAGAGGAGAAGGCACCTTTGCAGGTCTGCATTACTAGGAAGAAAAAGGCTGCTAATGTTTAGAAGATGGAGATAATCAGAGGAAGCAGCTGAAGGTCAGGCAGCAGATCAACAGCTGAGCTAGGAGTAATGTTTCTTAATTTCCCACCGATTACACCCACAGTATGTGCCTCTTCCTCCTTATTAAGAATAATATAATGCTTGGCTTCATCATTGTTTATTAAAAGAACAATTCAGTTGTTGGAAAGTTGTAACAGAATAAAATTTTTCTAAATTAATTTTGCCACACAAAGAGTTTTTAAAAGTCAGCATGGGCATTAAAGATGTTGCCTTAAACAGAGGTAACCATTAAATGGTGAATGAAAGCCTGGGAAGACACAGGAAAGAGGAGATCCACTCGGGGATTAGAGAGCATCAAATGTTAAATGTCTTCGTTTTTATGTGATCAGGTTTTGCTGCCTGTATCCATTTACTTGAACTAAATGGAAGCATACAGTAAATATTTGTGTGTAAACAGCAGTATGCTGGCTGGGCAGGTTACTTATGTGGAGGCAGAAAGGGTCTTTGTTGCTGTTTTAAAATACCATTACTTTTTCCTTTGGCTTCAAACTGGTGTTATATACCAGTAAAGACATTCCCCTCCTGGTGGCCTTTACCCTCTTCAGTGCATGTTTCTTTCTGTCTTTCTGCCTGAATTGTTGCTGTAAGATTGATAAACATAACATATCATTGTATTTGCTGTTTAATGTGTAACAAACCTATGAGGATTACTGATGTACGACTCTCGGGATGTTATGCAAATGATGATAGTTTGTCCTTCCTTGTGATGCAGATGCAGGTAACTTATCTCAGTAATTTCTTTACTTTCAAAATAGGGTCCAGTGCCCTGGACTCATGAAGAGATTTGCACAACGTAATACTTGATATTTGAGTATCTTGTGTTCGGGTCTGTGGTCTTCGGAGCAGAACCCACGGGTCTCGGCAGGAGCCGGTGAACCACAGAGGCTGGGCGACCCTCTGGAGATCGCCCCGCGCTGCGCAGAGCAGTGCTGGAGCCGGCTGCTCAGGGCCTTGGCCCGTCGGCGTTCGGCATCACCAGGGATGGAGAACCACCGAGATTTGCACAACGTAATACTTGATATTTGAGTATCTTGTGTTCGGGTCTGTGGTCTTCGGAGCAGAACCCACGGGTCTCGGCAGGAGCCGGTGAACCACAGAGGCTGGGCGACCCTCTGGAGATCGCCCCGCGCTGCGCAGAGCGGGGCTGGAGCCGGCTGCTCAGGGCCTTGGCCCGTCGGCGTTCGGCATCACCAGGGATGGAGACGCCCTGCCCTCTCTGGGCAACCTGCTGCAGCGTTTGGCCACCCCCGCAGTACAAAGGCTTTTTCTGATGTTTGGGGAGAATTTCCTGCATTTCAGGTCATGCCCGTTGTCTCTTGTGCTGTCGCTCTGTACCGCTGAGAACAGCCTCTGGTCTTCGCTCCCTCCCAGCAGGCATTGCTACGCGTTGATGAGATTCCCTGGAGCCTTCTCTTCTGAAGGCTGGGCAGTCCCTGCTCTCTCTCAGCCTCTCCTCTTAAATCTTAATAGAATGAAGAGTTCAGAAGAATTCAGGGCATCAGAACGGGCGTTGTGTGAAGCAGCGTGCTGAGCAGTGGGTCGTAAGGACTTAGCGGTGGACACCGCAGGTCGGAGTGTCTTTGAACTCTGCCCTTGGCAGTGTCAGGGTGCCTGGCTTAGCAGCGTTGCCTTGTGATTCGCGGCTGGAGCCCTCCTGATTTTAAGCCCTGAAGCCCTTTTAGAAATGGACTAAGAACTAAGCCCTAAACTGGAGGGGGAGATGCACCTCCTGAAAGGCTCTTGCAGGCGTGCACTGTTCGGGGTTGTGACTGTCTCCTCTTCTTGAAGCTGCTCCATGCAGGATCTGCGCTTGAAGACGAAGTGGGCTGGGGTAAACAACTCCAGCGCTCGCTGGGGAGCGAAGACGTTCGCCCTGTGGCTTTGTTTCAGAGGCTGGTTTTATGTGCCTGGAGCATCAGCTTTCCACTTTGCAGCGTGGGCCACGGCTGCTGTGCTGACAGGCAGTGCTGGGGAGAGCACGGCAGCGCGCTTGGTTTGGGTGGGGGTGGCAGGCAGAAGGCAGGCAGAAGCTCTGCCCAGGGCTAAGCCGGGCCAGCTCTCCCAGGTTTGTGTGCGATGGCACTTTCGGCAGGTACGGAGGTGATCGATGGAGCTGCTGCATCCTCACTGTGCCTGCTGGGGCGGCTGTTGTTTTAGCTGCACAAAATAAATGCCTTTGGCTTGGCTCTTCATCCAGAATTTAAACCAAGTGTTCCTGTTCTTCCCTGTTTCACTTTTTTTTTTTTTTCTTTTTTTGATTGCAAATTAACCTTTTGGCATTAAAGACCTTGGAAAATTTGGAATTTTAATCTTACAGAGTGAGGTCTTGGGAGCTAGAAAGGGCTTGTATTAGCTCATCCAAGGTATCATTAAATCTCTGTTTCACTGCCAATTTGGTGTGTGAATGATGTTGTGAATGATTCCACCCATGGCCTTTGGCATCAAAGTTAAACTTGTATTCTGTACCTTTTTCTCTCTGCAGACTTGTATATCAACTTAAAGTCTGCATGAGGGTGTGTCTGAGACTGCAAGAAAGTTTGCTAAAGGTTATTAGCATGTGGCAGTTACCAATGGTCTGAATGTGCTTTCAGGAACCAAGCTGGCAGATTGCGTGGGGCAGCGTTTGTCTGCGTTAGGTCTGGCTCCAGGCAGAGTTGTTTATTCCGTCTTTTTCTGCATTCACTCTCTCCAGATGAAATATTCCCATAGACCTCTGGAATCAAACACGGAATCTCTCAGTTGTACGGACCAGAGGGTATGCTTCACAGATATTTGGATTTTCTAAGAAGAAAGAAACATGCTTAATAGCTCCCTGTGGTTCACTCTTAAATCCAGCTCCTGTGGAACAGGAGCAGAATTACTGGAGTCTGCGCAGAATTGTTTTTTCAGACTCTCTCTGGGATTTTCACTTTCCTACTTTGTGCATATCCCCTGGTTTGTATGTGTGGTGTGCTTTTTATTTATTTTTCTTTAAATGTAGGGCAGTTTGCTTAACCTTAAAAGCTAGCTACTGCACTGCTCAAGAAGTTCAAAGAAGTGGTGGTTTGGGGTTTTTGTTTTTTTTGTCCTCCCCCCCCCCTTACATCGCGTATTCAGCTCGCTGCTTGGCGGCTGGGCTCCGAGGGCGTTACACACTGTAGATTCTCGTCCTTTACACCCCAAGCCCTGTCTGTACCCTCTGCTCACGCAGAGGTGAAAGCGGCAGCGGTGGTACAGTGGGAGCTCAGCTGAGGTGCCACCGGGCGCCTCGAGCTGCGTGGATGGTGAAGTGGATAGAGAACTGGCTGAATGGCAGAACTCAGAGGGTTGTCATCAGCGGCGCTGAGTCTAGTTGGAGGCTGGGGACAAGTGGTGTCCCTCAGGGGTCAGTACTGGGCCCAGTCTTGTTTAACTTCTTCATCAACGACCTGGATGAAGAGTTAGAATGTACCCTCAGCAAGTTTGCTGACGACACCAAACTGGGAGGTGTGGTAGATACACCAGAAGGCTGTGCTGCCATTCAGCGTGACCTGGATAGGCTGGAAAGCTGGGCAGAGAGGAACCTGAAGAGGTTCAACAAGGGCAAGTGCAGGGTCCTGCACCTGGGGAGGAACAACCTCATGCACCAGTACAGGCTTGGGGTGGACCTGCTGGAGAGCAGCTCTGCGGAGAGGGACCTGGGTGTCCTGGTGGACGACAGGTTAACCATGAGCCAGCAGTGTGCCCTGGCTGCCAAGAAAGCCAATGGGATCCTGGGGTGCATCAAGAAGAGTGTGGCCAGCAGGACGAGGGAGGTTCTCCTTCCCCTCTACACTACCCTGGTGAGGCCTCATCTGGAGTACTGTGTCCAGTTCTGGGCTCCCCAGTTCAAGAAAGATGAAGAGCTACTG